TCTGCCAAGGTGGTGGCCGTGGAGGTCCAGAAGGCGACTATGTTCTCCACGTCGGCCGTGCGGGCCCTGACCTTGCGGTCCCACCAGGCGATATAGTCGTTGACGTCGCCCTCGTCGCCGACTGTGGTGAGGATCCAGGCCAGGCGCACCGCCTCCAGCCCATCCAAGACAGACATGACCCCGCGTGGCTCCCACGGCCGCTTGTCGTCTGCGGCGACCAGGCTCCCCCCGACTAAGTGGAGGGACCCGGCCTCCTTCTGGGGAACCGCCAGGCGATTTAGCTCGTCCCGGGACGTCCAGGTCCTGGCCGCCAAAATCTCGCCCAGGAGGAGCGGCGTATAGGCCTTGGAGACGGTGTGCTCATGGTAGATCCTGGCGAGCACCGCGTCCGCCCCGGCCAGGCGCCTCGTGGGGAACGACCGGGGCCTGCCATCGAGGAGCTTGTCGTTGTAGGCCTTGACCAATGGCCCCCAGGCGTCAAAGGACTTGGGGGGCGGGCCTGCGGCTGCAGCCGGCGGCAACGGAAGGGCCGGCAGGGCGGATGCCGAAGGAGACGGAGGCGTGATCGCCCCAATGGCCGCCGCCCGCTGGGCGGACCAAGCCTCCCACTGTGCCCGAGCCTCCAGGTACATGTGGAGCAGCACCGCCCGGACGGCGGGGCGCTCCCCCTCATGGACCACAAACTCAGTCCCTGAGGAGGCGTCGCGAAAGCCCGCCAGGAGCGGGTCAACGACGGTGGCCTCGAACCTCGTCGGGCTTGGCTCCACCAGGGCGAGGGTGGCCGTGCGGGCCAGGCCGCGAGCCCCCAGGTACCTTACCACGACGTCCCCCGCCCCGGCCTCGGTCGCCAAGGTGCGGAAGTCGACGAGGGCGGCGGTCGAGGACGACGGGGCGGCCATGACCGGCGACAGGCGGGTTCGTGGGGGGAGGCAAACCAGCGAAGAACCAAGAAAAGGCTGCGACCCGGGCGGCAGATAGACCTGTCGACAGGGGGTGGGGAGGGGGGGCAGCCGCACGGGCACTCCTTTTCTTCTCCCTGGCGCTCGGGAAGATCGGCCCGGTCCGGCCGAGGGTCTCGGCCGGCCGCCCGGCGGTGTGGCCCCGCGTCACTCCAACTCGCTGACCACCTCGTCGTCGACCCGGCTGAGGTGGCGGCCGCACCAGGAGACGACGCACCACCTCCAAGGAAGGCCGCCCCTCTCGGCGGGAGGCGGGGCCCAATACATAAGGGCCCGGCGGCGTTGCTCAACGCGGCGGCCGCATTCTGCGATCCCGTCGTCGAGGTGGGGGCTGGCCGGGCGATGGACCACCCTGGACCAGGGCCCCAGGCGCGCCAGGTAGAATGGGTCCCGTCGGTGGACCCCCGCCGCGTGCTCGGCGTACGGGACCATCTCCGTGGGCTCCCGGGTGGCCGGGCGAGGGCCCAGGATCCTGGCGAGCTGCTCAGGCAGGATGGTGGCCGCCACTGTCGGATCCTCGTCCTCGTCGCCCGTGTCGAAATTGGGCCGCTCCCATGCCGGGTGCCAGGCGCGGCGCGGCAGTCGGCCCAGGCCCCAGGTCCTGTCCCAGGCCTCCGCCCGGGCCTGGGAGTCCTCCTGGAGCCAGTCGATGTGGCGGCGAGCGTGCTGCCACATTTTTGTCAGGGCCCAGCTGTCGTGCCGGGCGGTTTCTGCCGGGCAGCGGAGCAAGGACCCCGTACCCGGCGAACGGCAGCCCTCGAGGTACGGCCTGACGAGAACCGCCAAGAACTCGTCCTCGTCGCGAGCGACGGCGGCGAACTCCGGGAGGGTGTCCAGGCGAATGATCCTGAGGTATTAGTTGGCCGCCTCCTCTGACGGGCCGAAAAGGGAGAGGAGCATCTCCCAAGGCGACCTGCCGTTATGGTAGACCGCCCCGGCGAGGCTGGTGCGGACATCGAAATCCGCTGGGCCGCCAAAACGGACGAACGGGACCGTAAAATAGCCCCCGGCGATGTGGCCCGGCATGGCTGGGCCAATCAGTGGCAGGGGAGGGGCGGGGCGGGCGAGAGGAAAGAGCCAAGGAGAGCTAAGCACCGGGCGCAAAGGACTCGGCCGAGACCATTCCGTCCCAAACCCCATGAAGCGCGCCGAAACCTGAGCCTTTTACGGGCGCGCCCTCTGGTGTCCGGGCGAAAGGCCCCCAAGTCAGGAATCAGAGGTTGATTGCCCGCCCGACGTGGAGGAGGCATCCTCTCGCCCCCTCCTAGTGTCGGCGCTTTCGCTCGACGATGAGCCATGGACAGACGCCGGGCCGGGAGACTCCGGCTCCTGGCGTTGGGCTTCGCCCGGGAAACAGCGCTTACACAGCGCGGCGCCCGGAGGCGGCGCAGAAAGCCGAAAGAACTGGCGGCAGCCATAGGGCCAACCGCACCCCGCCGCCCGCCAGGCGGCTCTATCAGCCATTGCCTCCTGGGCGTCTGGCCGGTGAACCCGCCTCGTCCTGGCGAGGTACACGTAGTGGTCGGGCCCGGCGTCCCCCTGCGGCACCGCCCTGGCCGGGGCCAGGTCGGGCACACATTCAAAGGCCGGGCTCTCGGGACCCTCACCCTGGGCAGCCAACTGTGCCGAGGGTGGGCCATGTGCCCGGCGATCCTCCTCAGCCGGGGGGGCATCCGAGATGGCCAGCTGCATCTCGGCCTGTCTGCGCGGGCTGTCCCCCGTGGGGCACCCAGGGCAGATTGGGCGGACTCCCCGCTTGAAACGGGCGCCCCTGGCGCCTGGCGGGAACCCAGGGCGCGCGCCACGGCCCCCGGCGCGAGCACCAACGGGGCCGCTTGCGTGTAGCGCTCGATGGCCCGCGACGACCACCTGCCGAGCAGCTGGATGACGGCCAGGGGGATGCCCTTGGCGGCCAAGAAGGTGGCCCCCGCCACCCGACAAGCATGGCCGCCGAAGATGTTCTTCTCCGCCCCGGTCGGGTCCAGAAAGGTAGTCGCCAAGCCGGCGGCCCGCAGGATGGCGTTCAGGAAGTGCACCGAGTCCTCCTTGGACCGGGTGCCCCCCCCCGTGCCGGGGAACAGGGGGGCAGCGGAGGCCAGGAGCCCGGCCGCATCCATCCGGCGCATGTGGCGGCGCGCCGCGTGCAGCGGGCACAGCGGATGGGTCGTCGCCCCGCAGGCGCAATGGAGAGATCTGCGGGTGAGCGTCCTCTCGCCGCCCTGCACCGTCTTGTGGATGGGCAGATCCAGGACGACCTCCGCCCGCATGATGACCAAGTCGCCCACCCGGGCGGCCGCGACCTCAATCTCGCGCAGCATGAACCAGACGGCGATGATGTAGACGTCCACCGAGTGGGCCGGGCGGGAGATGTCGAAGGGCTCGGCGTCGGCTAAGGAGACGAGGGGCGTCAAGGCGAGCACGGGGAATGCCTCCTTCAGGCGCGAGCCCGGGAGGCCCCGCACCACGGATCTTATGATCCGATTAGCCAGGCGGCGCAGGAGCGGGTCGACGGCGATGCGCAGATCATTCTCCTGGTGCCTGAAGGCGGCCAGGAAATATTCTTTGGCGCTGCGGTAGGCTCCTTTCTTAAAGCCCGCCCCGACGACCTCGAGGACATGCGCCGAAATGGGCCATGGCGACACCTCGCCCTCATAGGCGAGCCTGTTCCATGTCTTGAGGCGGGACTCGTATGGCCCCCGAGTCGTCTTGGCCAACATGTCGCCCCGGAGCTCGGCGATGGCCCGCTTGACATTGGCCGGGCGGACCGCCTCGACCGGACGCCCTCAGGCGGGAGGCCGGCTTCCACCAACCTGTCGTGGCAGCCCACCAGGCCTTGGAGATTGCGCACCCCGGCGCGAGCCAGGAGCGGCAGGTGGGCGGCCTGCCCGGCGCAGGTGGCCTGTGCGACCAGCTCGGCGAAAGAGCCTCGTCTCGGCTCGGATGCCATGGTGCTTGAGCCCTCGAGCCGGTCGACCCCAACCACCCAACCCAGTCTTAAGGGGGAAGGGCGGGTACCAGCGCAGGACAGACGGCCGCACAGACCCTTCTTTTTGAAAAACCAGGCGCCAGGCGTCAGGATCTAAGCCCGCAAAAGGGCAAGTGGCACAAAGGCCCCCAGGCGGCGGCGGGCTCAGAAGATCCATGCCAGGCGAACTTGTAAAAGACGAGCTAGTCCTCGAACCGTAGCCCGGGGCGCTCGGGACGGCAGGCGTCGCATTCATGGTGTTCATGAGGACGCCCGCCCAATGGCGGGAAACACACGGGCCGCAGGCACCTGGCGCGATTGGGGCAGCGGCCGAGGTGTCCCGACCTGGGGCCTGGGCATCCCACGAAGCACCAGCCCACCCAGTCGAGATTGTGGCGGTCGGGGCGTTTCGGCAGTCGGCCTCCTCGCACATTCGGCGGCAAGGTGCGGAGGACCACGCCCTGGGTGACGGTCTGGGGGTCTGGCGAGGCCGCCCCCGAGGCGATTGCCTGCTCCAGGGTGAGCGCCGACTCCCAGGAGCCTGCCGCCCAGCCACGCAAAGTCGGCGGCAAGGGCGTCGCCGCCATGGACGCCCCAGGCTCATGGAGCGGGTACCTGAAGTCGTCCCAGGCCGCCTGGATCGGGTCGGACGAGCGCCTGTGCGTCCGGTGCTCCCTGTTGCGGCTGCCGAAGCCGTGGCGCCCCTGGCCGCCAGCCTTGGGCGGAGGGAAGGACGCCTTCGGCGGAGGAGGCACCGCCGACGACGAAGAAGCCGCCCCCTCGGCCGCCGCCTCGGCGCGAAGATAGTTCTGCCAGGGCGACTCGATGGTCGCGGCCGGCACGGGGCGGTTAGGCACCGGGCGTGGGTGCGTCCTCCACCACCTGGACCCGGCGCGGGGCTGGATGGGCCTCCTCAGGCGGGGTCCAGACGCCCGATCCGCCTGTCGGGCAGGGCCGGGGGCGGACGCCGGGCGCTGGGCTGGCGGTGGCCCCAAGGCGCGCTGCGCGGCGAACTCCCGCTCGATCTGGGAGGCCAGGGCGGTGTCGTAGTCGGCGTTGTCCGGCAGCTGGCGAAGCCCCGCGCGGCTTCTGGCAGCCTGCTCCTGGCGGATAAAGGCCTGGCGCCGCAGGAACTCCTGGCGGTGCGCGTCATCGGCCTGCTCCTGGTCCCGGAGCTCTGGGGGCGCGGCCTTCTTCGGCGCGGCCACCGGCGGCGTGGGCTCCAAAGTAGGCGCCGTCGAAGGAGGCGGCGCAGTAGAGGAGCTAGGCGCCTCCGGCTCCAGCACCGGAGGTGCCTTCACGACGGCCCTGGCGGTGGAGCTGCTGGCCGCCTCTGGCGTCGGCGGTGGCTGCGGCGCCGGCGGAGGCGGGGCCTTAGCCACCGTCTTGGGCTTTGCCGCCCCCCGAATGGGCAAAGCCGATGCCGCCGGAGGCGCCCCTGTGGCGGCGTCAAGCTGGACCAGGTAGGACGTGAGCGCGTCCCAGCCCGCCTCAGGGAGCGGCGGGTCGGAGACCGGCTGCGGCGGGGCCCTGGCTGGCGCAGGGTCGCGCCCCTCCCAAAATGCCCGCGCCTCCGGCGCAGAAGGGCCCGGGTCTGTCGTGGGCTGATCCGCCCCAGACGTTGGAGATGCCGAGGGCGCCGACCAGGAGATAGTCGGCGGGTCCTCGCCCAAAGCGGCGGTGTCTTGGTCGGGCGTGGCGTCGGCCTCGACCACGGCCGCTCTGAGGTTCGCCGCGTCCTCAGGCGACAGGGCCCGGATCACGGCGGCCAGGCGGGGCACCGACATGCCAGCGACGAAGGACCTGATGAAGTAGTCCTCGTACGTCTGGGTGCCCCTGTCGCTGCCGCCTGCCGGCGGGGGCGGGCCGGACGGAGCTGGACTGTCGTCAGGCTCCAGACCCCCCCGCGCACCGCCCCGCGAAAGGGCCTCGGCGGGCAAAATGCCCGGGGAGGCGGACGCCTCAGCCGGCGTAGGCTCCAGCCCGTCGAGGCTGTTCAGATCCAAACCACCAGGCGTAGTGGTAGTAGACGCCCAGGTCGTGCCAGCGGCCAGGTCCACGCCCGGAGTCGCCTCAAGGCCAGCCGCCCCCAAAGGCGACGACGGGGCAGCGGCAGCGAACTGCGCAGGCGTGGACCCGGACGACATGACCCGAAGGGAGGCGAGAGGATCTGAAAGCAATCAAGGAAATTGACGGGCGAGCCGAAATGCTATTCGGCCGCCCGCCTGAGCTTGTTCCTACACACACACGTGTGTTACACCACAACAACAACCATGATAACCCAACGACAACAGTACTCCGGCTTGGGATTCAGACACGAGGAATTGATGCAAACTTTCTCGGCGCTACCAGCCCAAAGCTCCAACGAGGCAAGCAATGCTCTTCTGCCGACTCTCGCTTGACTCGGAGTTGAGGAGAAGCTTCTCCCGGTTCAGCCCACAGCTTGCTCATAGTGCACTTCGTTGCATATTGTTATCAGGCTTTCGCACGTGGGGCGAAGCAGCTTGCCCGGACCAGCACCAAAGACGCCTCTGAGACCCGGGCTCCCTTTCGCAGCGCCGTGGGGACGTCATCCCAGCGCCAGAAGAGCGTCACCTGCAGCGTCAGCAACAACACGCTACCAGCAGTGAGCTTATGCGAACTTCGCTTGTCTGGGCATGTCCAGGCTACAGGGCAGACGGACTTCGAGAATCTGCAAAATATTCCGACGGCCCGAGAACAGCGACAGCACCTCTTTTTCATTCGGCGCGACGGCCTGGCCTCGCCCTGAGCAGTCTTCTCTTTGGTGACAAAGTCGGAGAACTCCTCGAAAGCGTGGACAAGCTGTTGTCACTCTCATAACTTCACCAGACTGAGGCCAGAGCTGGCAGTCCGCAATGCAAGAAAACGTCGAGACCTCCAAAGCCGAGATGTGAAGTCACGTACATCACTGCATAGTTCGAGGAGTGAGAGGAATCGGAGGGAACACCTGTCTCCAAGATCTCCACCTGGGCCAGGCCAGAACTCTGCATCTATGGTCAAGACTCCGTTGGTCTCTCAGAAACCCAGCCTGGACGTGGTGCGTTCGGTATGACGAAGGCAGGCCTTTTCAGGATCCCAGAGTTCCAAAAGCCTTGGAGAAGGATAGCGAGTCACTGGCCTGGATACGAGGCAGAATCTATTTGCTCGATCTCGAAGTGGTACGTGTCTGGACCTGAGAAGAAGCAGGTGCCGCATCGGCAGCTAACTGATTTGCAGCAAGGTTCTTCTGCCACTCGCACAAGCACCACGACCACCCACACTCCCTACCCGCAGAGCTGAAACTGGATGCATTGGCAAGCGTTCGGGACGACACGGTAGCGGATAACATCCTCTCGGCCGAGGTCCTGCCAACATGTATGGGCGCATGGCCTCGCCATTCACATTCTGCAGACTACTTCCGATTCCAGGCACCTCCAAGGACACGCCAAGCTCTTCGTGAATGCCTCGATGAATCCTCGACCGACGAGTTGAGGCTACCAGTGAGGCTACCCGCACCCGCCGCAAAAAGACGCCAAACAATGCCTTTCAACTCTAAGTGCCGCAGAATCTAACAAATCAGACGGGTGTGAACACGACGCAAGCCCCTGACCAAGCACTGCATCGGGGGGTCCACTCCACGGCACTCCGAAGCACAGCAAGTGCAGGCCAAGATGCGCTGCCAGCAGGCCACCGGAGTCTCGCGGCTCCTGACATTGCCCGCCACGTGGCCCCTTCTCTGACTCCCAAGTCACAGTTTCCCCTCGCCATCCCAACTTCTGGTGCATCTGGTGCAACGGTTTCGAGATGTTTCGCGAACAAGGAACACAAGAGCATCTGCATATGGTGTATGGGATCGGCGCAAGGGTCAAACTGATAGCCATACAAAATCCATCGGTAGCCGCCTTCTTTTCGGCCAGCAGCATGTTTCGCACACGTGTGCGTCCATCTGGAAACTGCTGTCTCTCCTGCGACGCATGTTAATGTTGAGCGCACGGCAGCAGACATACAAAGTCATTGCTGTTCTACCAAGCTGATTCTCGAGATAGCAGATAGCATAAGAGGGAGCCTATTGTTTACACCTCCCCTGCGTGTATCCTGCACAAGCACCCGGCTGCGAAAACGCAGGCGAATGAAGATCGGCTCCACGACACGCATGATCTGGGGGCGTCCCGGCGTCGACCTCGGTACCGAACCCCCAAGTGGTCACCAGATTGGCTTCCCATCCAAGGTCCACGCGTCTCGGATGAAGGCGCGAGGAAACAGCTACCCTCCTTCAGTTCCTGTGAGTCGGATGTTGCTCAACAGCTTTCTTCGGGGCCCTCTCCCAAGCCTGGAAGAGCCAGGACATCGTCTTGGTGCCGCCGGTCCCGAACTTGGAGGTGCTGACACCATTTGACTCCAAGTACTCCTGCCAAGCTCTGGAGTAGGCTCCGTAGTGTGCATTTCTGAACATCTCAGGCGCCTTCAGTGCGGCCTCAGAACTGAGATGGGGTGGCAGCGAGACCGCCTGGAAATCGACTCGGCCTCCCTCCGTGCTGAAAAATGCGCCCTCCACCTCTGCTGGGGACGTTGTCTCTGCAGGGGTCGGCATCGCCGCAAAAACGTGGATCTCCTCTGAAAGCATGAGGGCTGCAGGGTCGAACGATACAATTAGTCGACGCCGAGGCTCGAACACGGGCTGCCGAAGACAGCAAACCTGTGATAAGCGAGCTGCGAGTTGATCCGTGAACGGCAGATTTAACGCTCAGATGGCTAAGCCTTGAATACGCTACCCCATCACATTTGAAATGATTTGAGACAGATGCTGTACCAAAAACCCTTAAACCTGCATCAACCTCTAAGACTCTACGCCTCTGCAGCTTCCGATGCTTTGACTTGCGCTTGGCCCGTGCAGAATCAAAATCTGTCCGCATCTGCTGCGGATTGAGGAACCATCAGGAACATGTGCTGATACAAAACACGTCTGCTGCGAGACTGCGGCCGACTTAGACCAGAGTTGTATGTTGGTCTTTTGTCTTGAAGTAAGAAGTGCTCAACTGTTGGAGCCATGTTCGCTACACATCGATGGCCTGGAAAGGCCACCGTGGCCGGATTCTTGAGCTCCACAGAAGGCCAACCCAAAATCACTAGCAGAGACACCTCCATTCTGAAAGATGTCCAATCAGGCACAGTTCTAGCCGAGCGGCCTTGGATGATTGAATTCGCCTTGCTTGAAGCAGAGGATGCCTGGGATGCAGGTTCCGTGTGCAGACTCCACATGTAGCACGATCTGATATGCAAAAAACGTCGTCCGCTTGACAAGCCTCTAATGCGGGCGTGTTGCAGTATGCAGTATGCGAACGCTGTTTGCGTTTGGGCGTATTAAAAATTGGAGACGGGAGAGTGAAAAACCGAAGATGGCTGCAGAAAGAAGCACGCTGGCACTTTATGCAATCTTTCGGCCACAAGCTTGGAGCCCTATGATGCCCTACTGATGATGCAACACATGCAACTGCGATCTGTCCGCTAGCAAACATAGCCGGCATCCGCTCTGACCCTCACGAGGTGCGGACGAGATAGCCGCACATCGCAAAGAGCGACCGTTTCGAAGAGCCGCACAGGAAGGCATCAGGCACGCCAGCTACACATGCTCAGGGACTGCTTCAGAGATGTTTCTCAGCAACTCTGGGCTGCGAAAAGTCAAAAAAACTCGTCGCAATTGCTGCTTTTGATCTGCGTCCTCGATATGTCAATATGAGCTGACTGTCGCCTAATTTCACTCTTCAGGATGCAAAAACACCTTCCTCGGCATGTTTCGGAGTCACGAGACGGAGCACCTTCCACAGTCCTTCCGCTTCCTTCCTCGCACTCAGCCCCAGAAAGATTTTCGTGTCGTATGCAAGTTGTGTTCCGCTGCAGACTCCTGTTTTGAGATGGAAACAAAAGCTGCTCACATGGGCTTCCAGTAGCTTTCCGGCAGCAGTGCAGCCCTACTGTTTGACAGTTTGAGGATGCAAGGCAACGCCTGGTCAAGAAACTGCCCTGCAAACTGCTGACCGCCCTGACTCGTGGCAGACCCAAGATGACCCAAGCCTATAGATCTGAATGATTTCTCCCCGCTCCAGTGGGTTGCTGGCACCTCCGGCCCTGAGCAAGCCAGAAAACGGTGACCTCAGCCAGGCTTCGGAGCACACGTACAAGAAACCGCCAACACGCTTCATACTCACCCAGGGTCACCACATCGTGGCCGACAGAACAGTGTGCTTGGCGAGAAAGGCCAAAGCGACAGCCTCGGGCATGTCCGAATCAGTGCCCTACATGGTCAGACATGTCAGACGGATGGACCGAAGACTGACCGAGTACCCAGCGGGTCGCACATTGCGTCGCAAGTGTGCTAGGTACAATGTAAGAGCACTCTAACTATGCACCGGTAAGGAATTCGATAGCTGCCTTGGCGGCGCGACTTGCTGCTGAGGTTCATAAGAGATGTGGCTACAGCAAGACCTTGAACCAGGAGCAGCGCTCAACGTAGGGCCTTTGATAGCTGACCCGGGCCGTCGTCAGGAATCAAGGTGACTGCTGGAGCTGCCCGTCCCTATGGCCGTGTCGCGTTGGGTCTCTGGCTCTGCCCCTACACATGGAGACATTCAATGCACGAAAGGAAGACGACGTGCTGCCAGTTTTCAAAATCCCACTCCCAGTTGACAAAACCACACTGGAAGATTCATCTAGTCAATCTAGCGTCAATGCCAACCCTCGCAGGCTCGCAGGAGGGCAGGAACATCTAGAGCGATGAATAGTCAAGTCTGGAGGCTTCCGGCAGGATCCAATCCGTTTTTGTTTGATCTCCGTGCACTTCGCAGGTCGCACACGTCACGCGTGTGAACCTGTCAGGATGACATCTGGGTCCGCCACATCGACACCTTGGCTAAGGCATGCAAGGCCTAGGCTTGGCTCCCAGGCTGGGCATGGGAACCCTTGGCGCTTGCAACTGAGCTGCGGTTCAACCCCGGCTTGAGAATCCTCAGCGCATGCCACGCACCATCGTTGTCAGATCACCTTTTGGAGGCTGCCAGGCGACACCGGCCCAGAAGGGCTCGCGAGGGCCAATGTACCTGCGCTCCAGATCTGCCTCAGAGAACTCACAGAGTCTGAAAGTCTTCTCGGAGGCGTCGGATCGGAGCAGCCCGAGCTCCAAGCACGCTACCGGGCGACAGCAGCGAGACTCGCAATCCTGGCGCAGACTGGCACACGACCGGCACGACCGGTCTCTTCTCTGTTCTCACAGGCTCCGCACCCTCGCCGCTTGCAGAGGGCGGCGCAGCCAGCGTGCCGGTCGGATTCCAGACTCCGGCCTGGAGCTTCTGCCGGCACGTGGCAAAACCTTCGAAGCCACTGCTCCTTGCCCTTCCGATCAGGCCGCGGCGAGCCCAAACACAGCCAGCCGCTGGCCACCGAGTGACAGAATGGGAGCGATAGCCTTGGTGGCAAAGGAGTGGACGGTGGAGTTGCATGATTTCGCATGGAAGGGCCTCAAGTAGAGGACTTTTGACAAGAAGCCAGCACCATGAAACCCATGAAATGCAGTTGCACATCCCAGCCTTGCAGTGATTCGCCACACTCACCGCACCTCGCTCACTGCATCTGGCGGCGCCTCTTGCGGTGAGCTCAGCGGCATGTCCCGGTCCGCAGAGTTCCACTTGAAGGCAGGCACAGCTTTCGGGCTCCTGCGGTGCACTTCCTGTCGAGCGCACTCGACTGCACTGCGAGCGATGCAGCATATCTCGGTGTCCTCGCCCACATCCGAGGGAAACCTCCAGGCGAGGCAGAGCATCGCAGAGCATCGCAGAGAACGGCAGAGCACGGAGTCACCAAAGAAGTCCCAAGTCCGAAGTCCGGGTGGCAGGGTCGAGCGCATCATACTCCCAGCGGTGTCGCAAAGGCCAAAGGCTGCAGCTATGTGCCTGCGTCTCTGCAGCCAAAGGTCCCTGAAGCCCCAGCTCCAATGACGCAGAAAGGGCGCTAAAGGCTCAGGCCAGGATGCCCACCCGCAGTCTCGTTTCGCAGCCACAACAGCTCTGCACTGCTCACCGGGTCCAGGAAGCAGTGGCGGTCGATGGGAACGGCCGAGGCCTGCGATGGGATCCAGGGTTCGGGTGCTGCTGCAAGGTGAGATCTTTCTGGGCGCACAAAATCCTGTCAAGCAGTCGTCAACTCTAAAGCCGAAGTACGTGGCCTCGCCCTTTCCCACTGACTCCTGCCTTGCAAGGAACCACGCGGCAAGTACCGTCTGGAAGTAGAAGTGGAGCCAGCACCTCTGAAGTGTTTTGAGACTCCCTACACTCTAGCTCAATGATTGGTGTGAGCTTTCACGGGATCCCACCTCGGGGTCGAAGTTCTCCGCAGGATCGCTGGCGTATACCTTGGACTGGATGAATGACTAAAGTGGGCACTCAGCCACCCTCTTCTGTGAACCCCTTCTCGACAAAAGACGCATCCCTCTTCTCATCCCAGCCCACTAGCCAAGCATGAGGAAGCTTGGAGAAGCGACGGGGGGCTGCGGGGCTGCTGGTGGAGTTGCGGAGGGCCGAAGTGAGAGCTTGCACGCGTTGGTCTTCTGATGTTTTCTGTCATTTTATGACACGAATTTAATTAAGCCGCTCGGTGGCCAAATCATTATACATGCACAGCACAGCTTGTTTGCCTGCTCGCAGCTGATGCCTGTTCTCATGGCACGCCTGTCCTGTCTGCAAATCCTGAACTGGTCTGGTCTTCTGTCTGAACACTCCTGACACACAGCATGCAGCAGAAGAACAACTTTTACTCTCGTCATCGCCACGGGGCCGGGCAACCCGCAACTGCACGTGCCGCCGCATGAACGGCCGCATGCCACTCTCCCGTCTTCAGCCTGCTTCCCAGCAGCTTTCGATTGCACGGAGTTTCTATGGGATGCGAAGCGGAACAAGCATGCAAGTCACCGACGGTCGTCCCATCGAACCCTAAACTCTGCACTGTGACTAGTGAACAGCTCTTGCCAGAAACATACCATGTTTCATTCCTACAGGACACTGCTAATATCTCCCAATCATGTCAAAGCTACATGTCCCAGTCGCAGTGCACGAAGGGCGCCAGCCAAAGCGAATTGGAAGCGCAGTGCCAGATGTGTCGTGCGACTGACCTGCAAGAAAGGCTTCCTTGTGCACCCCGTGCTGCAATCTTTCCCCGCCAGCGAATGCTCTTGAAGCTTCTCCAATGCTCTATATTCTTCGGCCTTGCATCTTCAGGAACACCCGGATATGCATGGTCATCAGACACACGTGTGAGCACCTGGCCATGTTCGTGGACCGGCGTACGACTTGGCGTCTCGTGTCATCCACACCCGGACTTCATGGCTATCCGAAGGCTGACCGAGATACCCCAATCGCAGCCTTCATGCCAAAGCACATGCAACACCCCGAAGTGCTTCTTGCAAGCTGTGGCGCTGCAGACCCTCCATGAACACAAGGAAGCGTCATGGCCATGCAACTGATGACCTCCAGATGGCTCGACATGCTGGCACATTGCACTTCGATGCCTTGGAGTGATTGGGCAGAGGAAATTGTAGCGACCATGGACTCTTGGCATGCCGCGACAGTCCGGTCCCCCTGCCCCCTGGTTCAGATTGTGATACCTTGTGCTACTTTGTAGTTGTGATGCTGCAGCTGCGCCACCCGGCCCCCGATGCACTTCGCGGCTTCTGCCTCGGCTTCACGGACAAATGATTTCGCAACCTCAATGCTTGATTCGTCTCCCATACTCTTTCATGTCCGGACGTGCAACACACTACGAAATGAACCCTTCAACCCTGAAACTTCCTCATCCTGAACCTCCGCATGCTCAGGCTTCACTTACGTCTCGTACAACCGTACCACGAAGCACCGATCAGACAGGCTGGCCTGAATGTGTGCCAACTCTGCGGCACGCCGTGCACCCACGAGAACCTGCCCAAAGAGAAACAGTGAGCTATGCATTCTCGCGACGCTCATCGGCCTCTGCGAGAAACTGACCGTCACACTTCACCCCAGTGACCCCCGCGTCGGCGAGAGCTGCGTAGAAATCCTCGCTTCATGAAGCGGTTAGAAGATCCAGCCCATGTGGTTTAGGATTCGCTCCAGCACGAGCATCTCTGGCGCTGGCTGAATCAATCAAAACGGCGTTCACTTATGCTCCAGGGCTCGATGTAGAATCGTTCCGCATCCTCCTGTGGTCGGGGAATTCACAGCCCTCTACAGCCAAGCAGGGAGGGGCCACTATGGCACACTATGGCTCGAAAGTGACGTAAGCCATGCCCTCTTGCAAGCCCTTTGCATCTGCGAGTTTCTCTCGCCTTATTCAAAATTTAAAAAAATAAAGCTTTACCCGGATTTGTCACTGCGACCGCATGCTTCCTCCGTCTCCAGGGTGTAGAAGTCGCCATCCCAAACATCAACCTCTCCCGGACAGCCGGCCTGCAAGTGAGATGTGAGATGACAGATGTCATGTCGTGCACCGCAGAACGCACACACACACACACACACCCATCTTGAATTAACTTTGCACAGTTGGGCTCCTGCCTCGATGATGGGAGTCACATGTGGCTAGAAAGGCAAGAATCCACGGGAGTTTAGAACTAGACTCGATGCCTGAAGCCCGCTGGGCCAGAGAGGATGCCGGCGGGTGACGGAGAAGCCGCGGCCCTCCGCGACTCCTCCCCAGTAGCCCAGCAACCTGAAAAAGAATAGTAGCCGCACTATGATTGGCCATGCCAGGTGCCAGGCCAGATGCCAAAACATCCACCGACACATCTATCACAGACACACACCAAAACATCCGCCACATAAGGTGGATATACCTTCAAAAGTCCATCAGGCTAGTCAGGGATTATTGATTTTGCGTGCTCGGGTCTGCGATATCCGAAATTGATTATTTGTGCTGTGTTTCAGTATGGGATTTGCCCATTATATTCTTTGCAGTCTTGAACCCTCTGTTGCCCCGAGGTTCCTGCACAAATGCCTAATCAAGCTGAGACGAGCTGCGTGTGCCAGACCAGCAGGGCTGAACCTGACATCTTCGCGCCTACCCGACCATAAAATCCGCCAAAAAATCCGAGTAGGTCCGACTACTTGTAGAGTTGGGTCGCCTTCGCGTCTGAGCGCTTCGGCCAGGTCCTCTCAGGGGATTTGTGTTCAGCTCCGACGTGGCCCCAATCGGCGCGCGATCCTGAAGCGACCCGAAGCCTGGACGTGCGAGGTGCTGGCTCTGCGGGGTGTGCAGCCTGGGAGGGTCGCGTCTGCAGATTTCAGAAAGCTCATGCCCGATCCAAGCCCCGCGCCAGCGCCGCCACTCTTCCGGACTCACATCCTTTGCGGCTTTAACACGACTTTCAGACCCCAGCAGACGGGAGAAGAAAAAAGAAGCCCTTGCCTCCTGCCATCCATCGTCCAAGACCAGCCAGGGAGGACTGTGCTTCACTGCCATCGCCTGTGAACATGACGGGTGAAAGTGGCTCCGGGCTCCCTCACCCCATCCTTCAGGTGCTCTGCTTTGACACCAACACCGTGCGCGTCCCAGGAGCACCAGCCCCACCGGCCGAAGAGCTCCTGAGACGGCGCGGCCCGGCGTGCGCGGGTGTGCGGCGCGCGACGCGCTCGCCGCTCGCCGCGCGGTCTGACCCGGTCTGAGAGACGAATCTGAACCGCCTCCATGGATCCGGCAACAATTTCTCAGAGCGCAAAAGCATGGGCTGCCCCAGCGCACGCCTCAAAATCTGCCAGACTGCAAAATGATGCTGCTCCCAATCCCTCTCCAGTCTCTACCAATCGGCTTTGGCGCAGCGTCTGTGCCACTTTCTGCGCTGCAAGATTTGCCGCGGCTGCTGCACCCAGATTCACGCACTCCATGATCAGCAGCACTGGTGTGTCCTAAAGTGAGGGCGGGCTGCTCCAAGGAAGCTGGGGTGTCTCAAAAAGAAGCTGTCCAAGAGGCTATTCCAGTGACTCCATCTTCGGATCTGCTCTCGATGTGAAGCACTAGCTCCTTAGCCGTTCGGCTGGGCACCCAGGGCGAGTCTCTCGTCTCTCCGAGCAGGCGACGAAGTCATCCAGACCACGTCGGCTGCCTCTCCGGGCAGACATGAGCACACAGGTGGTTTGCTTCACATTCTAGACACTGACCTCGTAGAGAGGCAACAACACCGTGGGCCAGATTTGCCAGGGGACAGAAGACCACTAACGATGTCCTGCTATGACGCCACGAGTGCAGCAGAGAAACACAGAAAGTGTGGGTGGCATCCGGCATGTTGCTTGCGAGTCGACGGTCCCTGTGTCAGCCAGCACGAACAAAGTTTCGCCTGAGCCGCGACCGCGCGCGTCGATCACTTGATAGGACATGCTGCACTGCTCTCAAATGCCCGCAAGTGCCCTCAAATGTCCGCAAGCTCGCCAAGAGGCCGGGCAACTGCGACAGCTGCGTGACAGGCGCCGGTGCGGTCCTGGCCATGAGACACAGAGCTACTCTGCGGGCGTGATTTGGCATGCCCCGGCCACGGCGGCTTGTGCCGGTACAACGCCAAGGCTTTGTCAAAGCCGCGATCTGGATAAAGCTCGAAGGCTTCTTCCTGCAGCGATGTGTGATATGTGAGATCCCCAAAGCTGCAAAGTTGGCGCACGGCCGGCACGGCCTCTCCTTCGGACCACTGCCTTTGCGCCAGCGGACGATGCTCTTCGCCTTCACGGCCTGGCCGTGTTTTGCCGCGCTTCGACACAGACCAGTCCCGCCGAGTCCCTCCGCCTCATCCTCCTGCACCTCAACTTTCAGCGCCGCGCTGCGGGAAGCAAAGCGCACCGCCATCAGTCATCGCGGCAGCATGTGTGCCCAGGCATGTGGGTTTGTGGGAGAGTGACCTTTGAAGAGTTGAGTGAGTGTCGTTTCATTCTACAAGACGCTCTGGCTTGTGTTCCTGTAAGCCGCAACTCCGAAGGTGTCAAACTGGCGTCTCTGAACCGCCCTCTTCCGATGGTAACCTGGCTTGACACGCACGATCACTGTCAGGAGCGTAGACTTCTTTCCGATCCCAGAATGGCCTTGCACCGGCCAGGACCAACAATCCTCCCCACGAAGAGAGCTCTACAACGCTGTTGACATGTGCTACGACCTTCGCGCAACAAGGGCCGCTCAGTAGTAAGTGCCGTCGTCCTTGCCCTGGGCATC